TTTTGCTGAAAATACACGTGGCTTCCGAGCTACGATTCCTGGAAACGATTGGCCCCTTTCGAGTTAGTCCAGCTGCCATCTTATTCAGGCCTAGAAAATATATTTCTCTTCCCGGTAGCAATTAAAACCCCAAACTAAAAATTTCCTGTGTAAGTCAAATATAGAACCGTCTTGCTTATGCATGGTCCTGCACAGTGTGATAAACTTCAATCTGGGCATAAGACAATCTATTCTTGCAAAACGCTTTTTTAAACAATAAGTAAATTATATCACATTCCAGTACACAAGACGACAAAAATTTCCTGGAAGATTAACTTTTCCATTTGCATGTTCGCCTGCGCATTAATTGCGATTTGTCGGGCCAGGTTTAGCCAGATATTTGAAAAATACGCAGTTTTAACAAATTTTTATTTATTCTGATATAGTCGATCAAATTATCAAACCTGATATTTCACATATATAATGATTTCTAACAACATTCAACGCACAATGGTCTGGATCATACTGGTGATGAGCGTAGCCGCAGATGTAGAAGCCGAAGCATATGAAGATAGCGAGATATTTTATCAGGTCAAACAAGGTATTTACAAAATATTATTAAAGAATAAAGGTTGATTTTAGATCGATCACCGCTTGTATAAACACGTGTGCATGGGTCGGTTTTCCAAAAGCAAGATTCTCTTCTGTCAGTTCTATTAACATATTAACAATATTATTGACTAGCGGAATTCCATTATACCAGAATTGCCTTGCCAATCAATTGTAGTAACGCCCCCATACAGTAAACTTAGCTCTGTATTTCTTTTAAAAATCCCGTTTCATTTACCCACGACAGCTTTAATTGATGAATTGGATTATCCTATATACGACAAAAATAGAAACGATCTATCAAAGAACGGAGCATGCATGAGTGATGGGGAATCGTATACTATAACGATCCCTCAATTGCAAGACCATATATAGCTCGAACGAAAGTAATCAGTCAGAAAAATTGATCAGATCACTTTTAATAATATTTTTCCAGGTATTCGATCTCAGCGCAAAGCTTTCAAAAGGTCAAGAGTGATGACAGCATTGGATTGCGTCTTGTCTTGCTTTGGTGAAAAAACTTGCAAATCTTTCAATTATGCTGAACCTACTTCTGTCAATGAAGGTGAAGGGAATTGCGAATTACACAATGAAACCAAGAATGATGATGAAAATTCATTGCAATTCCTGAAAGATGATAGATACACCTTCTATCAGATACCTGGAGCATCACACAAACCAGAAAACAACCAGACGACAGAAAATGTACCTGAACAGGTATATATCTATCTTAATTGTTGTATAAAAAATCAAATTTCATGCAAGGAGAAAGTCGCTTTCGTTGCCACATTCTTGTCACTTCTGCAACAAAGGTTCATGTAACATGCAGTTTTCTACTCATAACTTCCCCTCTTGAGCTGCGCGGTTAACTGAAAGATTCGGTTAGTCCGGTTGTTTTCTTAGCACCGGAAGTCGGCACCGAGCTTGCGCAAAAGAACCGGTTGTTTCGTTTTTCAAGTGTTGCTCTCACTTCCTTTAACTGAGGAAAATGAAATGAAATTTTAAAGGAATTTTAAGTTCTGTTCCAATATTACCAAAAAAGGCCTTACTTGGTCTTTAAAAAAGGCGCAAACAAAGACATTTCCCTTTTGCTTTATTCCTTCCGTCTATCCCATAATCAATGCCATAATCAATGAGATGTTTTTATTTCATTTAACTTGTTTAATTCGAAGTTATATTACAATTTAGTGAGCAAATGGTTTGAATTGTTTTCTTTTAAAAAATACCGAAACCAACACCGAACCAAGGCTCTTCCACCCCAAAAAGACCGAAACAGAGATGAAATTTCTGGAACCGCACAGCTCTATTCGCCTCAGTAGCAAGAGAGGAGAATTAAGTGGGGTTTCATTATAGGGACCGCTATATAGAAACAGAAGTTAAGTACCTATATATGGCAATTTTATTGTTACAAGCTGTCAGCTGACAATTCTGAGAGTTTAGGCATTGGTGAACAAAAATTTATGTTGGATCTGATGTTGAGTATAGTTGAGGCAGGTAATTTAGTATGATTTTCGTAGCCGATTTTGAGTTTAATGCACTCAAAATGTGGAGAATGCACTACAATTAATGCTATTAAGTTACTATTCTGCTAATTTTAAACTCTTTTGACTTAAAATCGGCTACCAACTTTTTAATATTGTAATTTTAATACTTGAAATATTGTAATTTTAGTCAATATAGTATTTTAATAAATATTAAGTACCATTTAAAACATGAATACCGAATGTTTTAAATTGCTTCAAAAACGATCGATTTAGTAAGTTCATTGGCGTTCATTTCCTCATGAATTATTGAATAACAGGTAAAATATTTGAATTTTCAAATGTTTCGCTATAAAGCTAAGATCATGTAGACATGGAAACATATATATAGTCTTGTTCAACAATATTTAAAGTTAGCCGATCGTCTAAAACTTATAGCATTTCTACTATGCATAAAAATGCTTGATGTTTTAAACGTCCTTCTAGGCAAACAAACCTGCCTCAAACAGCAAAAGTTGTCTTGACCATTTCAACCATGGTAGTAAAACATCGGGCAATTACACCATCTTTGATTCGCAACAAAAACCTCGCACAGTGTATTGTGATATGGAGTCGGAACCGGGATCTGTTTGGACCCTCGTTATGTCCTTCGCAAGAGCAAACAAAGATTTGGAGTCGTTCAGACACAAAGCAATGTATGAAGATGCTCCAGCGAACAAGTATTCTCCAAACTGGTGCAACTACCGAATGAGCCTGGATCAAATGACCGACCTGAAGAACAAGACAAGTCACTGGCGAGCTACATGCAGTTTTCCAACATACAGATTGGACATCCACACTGACTACGTGCGAGCTGGTTTCATAGATTTTGATCTCATGGGTGAATTTTGGGGTGAATGCAAGAAAGTCAATTATATTAGTGTCATGAAACAGAGTTGCTCAGAATGTACCTCGCACTGGTGGCAGGGAGCTGGCGATGGTGACCGCTATACCCAGCACCTAGCAACTATATATGGAAGTCCATGTGATATAAAAGGTGATCGAAGTGGAATTGTCTATTTTGGTGCGTACTACAGCTACAACACGGCATTTCGTTGTACAGCTACTTCTGACTCGACAACAAATTACTGGTTTGGATCTTATGTGTGATTCCGATATGACTGCCCAAATGAACTACATGCATGCATGCATAAAATTGAACTTTATGGAACACTTGTTATAACAAGTATAATTTATTAGTATAGATAAACTGTAAGCTATTTAAGTAACATATAGTAAATTGCACAAATCTAAAAACACTTTCCATAATTGTATATTGACATTACTATCTGTACATGTGCGCAAGGACATGTGGATTATCATATAACTATAAAATCGTACATTACGTCGAATCATTGGTTCAAATTGTACATCGTTCAAATTTGTATATCTTTTAGTTATGATTAAATACACTCTTGCAATGACGTGGTGGCATACATACATACATGACTTTATTTATTGCTTTTCAAGGCAATGTAATCCTGTATTACCTGAAGACGTAGCAAATAGGACATAACAGAAAGAACTGTTTCCATGACTTGATTTAATGCCTTGTATAAATTATTCAATCTATACATGCGTATACAGATTTTAAATCACGTTTTTGGACTCTCCCATGAGTCATTGTGAAACTACGTCTATTCATAGACTATCGAAGGGAAGATGGCTGTGAAACTCATTAGAATAACAATATAATCATTATCTATGTTAGTCAACGTTTTTTCATAAATCTGGTCCTTCACCGTCACGTGCGTATTGTATTTTTGCCAAATTCACCAATGACAATTTCCAATTTACCATATTGTTCGAGTCAAGGATAGCTAGGTAACTTTCCTAAAACATTGCTATTGGTTAGTTGGGCAACAATACAATATACACACGTGACTGTGAAGGCTCAGATTTATGAATAAACGTTGACTGAAACAGATAATAAATTATGTTGTTATTCTAATGAGTTTCACAGCAGTCTTCTCTTCGAAGGGCTATGGTCTATTAAAAGGACGAATATAAAGCAGGACTCTTGCAGCGGTTAAAATGACCGAAAAATTGTCTTTTAAGCAGTTCTTGGGTTTTTTTTCGGGGCAAGGGGGTAGTGAGCATTGAAATGCTGGTTTGTCTAAACTATTAACGCAAGCGCGGATCTAGCTCCGTCTGCCAGGAGTAGAGCATGCAGGTTTTCCATGGGGTGGTGCATTTGGGGGGGGGGGATTACGGTAGATGTTATTCAGTTGGGGTTACTCTTGACTGCCTACTCTTAAAGTTGTGTAGCTTTGAAGCTTCCTTCCCCCTTTATGATGCATAGAGATTGTAAAATAGTAGAATCATATTAAAGCTTCATAATGGGGTCCCACACCAATTAGCTACATTGAAATTTTCGTAGCAAGTGTCTATTGACTATGGAAAATTAAGACAGGTATTACATGTTTGGACAATACAAGCAAAAGTACGTATTTATTTTATGTAAAGCTGTTACCAAGGTTGTCTCAGGCCTGCAGTGGATTCAACAGCTCTCTTATCGTCCTGGGGCAGATTGAATAAAAAAGTAGTTAAAATTTATTTAATTTTTAATTTCACGTGACAAAAAGCTCATGTAATTTTCCAATCCCGGCTGGTAACTTTCCGACGAAGGGCATTCGCTCGAAACGTCGAAGTTCTCCGTGTATTTTTCAGGTAGTTGCATCCCTATATCGCACCAGGGCGTCTATAAAGCCGGTTTTCCACTTCGCCCGTATCGTACCGAAACGTACTAGTGAGCATCCGCAGATTGAAAAGAGGTTTATAAATCCACGTACTTCCGGGTGTATTCGCGTATCAAAATAAAAAGTTCGTCACAAGTCAACTTTTTGGCGTACTACGGAAGTACTAACCAATCAACGTTCACGAAATTTTGAAATTTAAAAACGTTTTCGCTACGTTACAGTACGGTACGGTACGGGCGAAGTGGAAAACCGGCTTAAGAATGGGCGGTGAAACGCCAGTGAAGCAGCTGAAACATGTGTGATGCGCTTTAGGCCTGGGGTCTAGCGTGCACAACAAGGTGTACACGAAGAAAACAAAAAATTATAAAATTTTCAACAGGCTTCATTAAAACGATCTGTACCAGTGTTGGTAGTACCAATGTGAAAATGCTGTGCTGAGTGGTTATATTACTACCTTAAAAAATAAGCAGAAACTCGACGTTTTGAGCGAAGGCCCTTCGTCAAGAGTTATATAACCAGGTAGGTAGTAATATAACCACTCAGCACAGCATTAAAACGATTGTAACTTGGCAGATCCTTAGACAAGCTGTTACAGGTATGCTGCGAACACATTATACAAACACATATCAGTATACGCGACATTCGTTAGAGAAGAACACAAAGAGGACATTTCCAATATCAGATTTTGGACATTTTAAGGTTTCGATAACGACGTTGTTAAAACCATGTTTTGCCCACAGCTATCTGGCAAATTTTAAAGGCACTTACCGAAAACATGACATAATCAGACCATCTTTCTGCATACATTGATTTCAACTTGTACTCTTGCTCCTGGACGATGTCATCAATACGATAGCTAGTAAGGGAATAACGAGCTTCTTTGAATTCCTAGATTTCCTGAGAAAAACGTCCTTCAGTCTTTTGTTCTTTCGTTCTGCACTCAATATTTGAGTTTAAATCTATAGAAAGCATTTAAGGATTTATCTAACAGCTGAAGAACAAGGTTACTGCGAAAAGGTTACACGTTCGTTGCCGTTTACACTCCGATTTTTTTTCCTCCCGTATATAGTATGGTTTCGAATGCAATTTGGAAAAAAAACATGCACGAGTGAGTTTTTCAAAGACTATCAAGATTGCATGAGTCCGAAGGACGAGTGCAACTTGAAGTCTTTGAAAAACTCACGAGTGTACGTTTTTTCAAATTGCACGAGAAACCATACTATTACTTATTAATAATATACATGAAAATATTATGCAGTCACTCCTAAAAACTCCCAAATGTTTGTTTTTTATATTATTTCTGCTGGAAATTGCTGTATCTTATTGGCTATCTTTCCTATCGTTTCATATTTTAAACCAATCAGAAAGCCTAAATAGTCAATGAAATTTGCACTGTATTTCTTTTTTTGGCACTGTATTTCGAAAAAATTGCACTACTCTTAGCCAATCAGAATTGAAAATTTTCTTCATGTACATTATTAATAAAGTTATTATTTCAGGCATTTGTATGTCTTTCACACTGCAGATTACTGCAAAGTCCTAATATTATATATCGTTATTTATTATATATCGTTATTTATACTCACAGCCAACTATAAAATCGTCATGTCAACTCAATAGATATAGAGTTTTGACATGATATTAGACGGTGTGACGTCATAACGTTGATATGAAAAAATAATATCAACGATGTGTATCACGAGTGACCCGAGCGACCTCACTGACGTCACAAATCCTTAGAGTGTCCTCCAGATGCTCCCTAACAATATCTGTTCGGGTCCACATACAGCGCAAAATTAAAACTAACCATTTTAATACAAAATTATTATATAAAGTTTTACAAAATTTGTTTGTTTACAAAAGTTATATTATGCATAGATTGCTAATTTGTCCTCCAGATGCATCGTCGCCGGCGCTGTGACGTCATGTGCAATGGGTCTATTACTGAAAAAAAGGTAAAATTCATACTATGGTATTTGTGATTGCATCACTAAATCCATCCATACTGTTTCCATACTATAATCGTAGTATGGAAATTGCAACTAGTATGAAAATTGGATTTCCATACTATTATCAACTAGGATCCATACTATTTGGATATAGCAAGCATTTTGAAAAAAATTTCCAGTGCATGCATGCATGCGTCCAACAACATATAAGAAAAAAAGATGAAGCAAAGACCAAAGAAATATCATCCTAGAAGACTCGAAACAACTGCTAAAGCAGTTACTGTTGATCTAAGTATCTTCTTTCTTAAACCAATTTCGCAAGTTGAACGAATTTGTGTAGTTGTTTAAATGGCCTTTCGATGTCGAGTCATGACGATATGCCCAAATCCAGGTAAATCCAACGGGGACGATTGATTTAATAAGCAAAATATGATTTAATCTTGATTGATGCTAAAGCGATGGTTGCAGTGGTCACAAATCCCCAAGAAAAGGTAAAAAATTGTTAAGGTATAGCCAAGGTTAGAATTGTAAACATACAAAAATATGTAGGTGTGCTCGTACATGTTTCTGGGATATCAAACATTGAATACACTGGAATACAAATAGAATAGCAATTGTTATAAGGGTTATAGACATATACCATAAATTTCCAATTATGTTTAAAAAATACAATATGAAACTACTGATATAACTTATGGTCTGGGAGCAGAAAAGTCAATTCAGAAGTAATGTTGCAGTATTTTATAATGAATATTTATTTTTACTTCCACAACAGCTACTGCTAGAGAATTGATGGTGGTGCACATGCTACCTCTACCATTAACCAATCAGATGCGTTTAATCTACCCGATTAACCAATCAAATGCGCATTAATTATTAAGCCAGTGAGAGGTAGCGGTAGCCAAATCTGAACCTCTGTATTACCTCTGCCTGGGGCCAGGTTGTATAGAAACGATGGCAACTGCCACTGTCGCAAAATATACCCCCGCTTGATGCTTATTTGGCATTCTGTATTATATCCTCCATAATCATCACTGTGGTTTTTATCTGGATTTGGATATATAAACTTGTGGTTCGATATCGAAAGGCTATTCAAATGACACAAACACCTTTAACTCACAAAATTGTTTCAAGAAGAAACAGGTAAAAACATCATCAAACGGAGGCAGATGTAGTGTTAGCTATTATACTAGTATTAAATAATGAATATTTGTTGTAGTTAAATGTCTTTTGATTTATCGCTATTGTTGTTGTAAAAATGTCAATGATTAATAAGTGCAAGCATTTGATCTTTGTTTCGCGCCATTGATTTTCACTTTACGGAATACAGCGCTATTGTCGTTCTTTCCGTGTTATTGATATAATTATACTAATCATTCTAATGCGCTTCTCTTTTATTTAAATGACTTGCAAATTAATGCACATATATAAAACAAACAATTTCATTTAATTTTTTAATTGGACATTATAACATTTGCACCAGAGACAACTGAAATAAAAACTGTGCACCAGCTTGTTCATCAAACACAGGGAAAAAATTCCAAAAGTTTCTGAATGTTTTTTTTAAATATTTATTATGATGTGTACTATATACAGCAAATGGTAAAAACAATGTTTAATATTTGATAGGCAGTGTTCATTAGTTCATTATTTATGGTTTGACATGACCCCCCCCCCCCCCTCTGGCAGTAACAGTAACAAATGGCTTTATTAGCATGACTTTACATAGAAGTATTGCTTGATGTTACTTATTAGTTAATTATAAATATTTACAAATGCAAAATGTTTTGTGGTAGTATGACACACTGTCAGTATCGAGTAATACAAGAAATAAAAGTTATTGATATAAAGAAATACCTACAATCCTGGCCAAAACTCATGTGGACACTTAATCCACTTTTGCAAAAATCATAACAAACACCTAAAACTTGAATTTACTTGCACATCCCCCACTCCCCCTCTTCAATGTTGCATATCCGACTTAACCGCACTTCGTATCTGATGAAAATCCCATTCAACATTGGCTTGGGGGAGCGGGGGGATAATTATTTAGAAAAAACACCATTCGAGGCCAAATTCTGTGGGTTGTCCACAACGTTTTGTCCAGGATTGTAGTTTACAAATGAGTACTCTATTTACAGTATATATGTAATTGAAGAAATGTGGGTTTTAGTTAGATAGCCTATTGACAGTCAGCATTCCAAGCTTCAAGGCATTTAGATCTCTTCTCAAATTTAAAATAAATTTTGATAATTTTATCACGGTTTCATTATCAGTTGATTTAATTCTCTCAACTGGTAAACTGTGTTCGTTTAAATCTGTTTCATTGGTGGGATAACTTTCCAAGTTATTTAAAAAGTTTTCTCGAAGATTAATAGAGGCTTCACAGGAAGTTAGGAAGTGATATTCTGTTTGCTGGCAACAGCAAAACGTACATGACCCTCTGCCCCCAAGAAAAGACCAAAAACTTTTGTGACCCCCCCCCCCATTTTATATAAAATGCAGTACAAGTGTATCAATATGGTATGTACAATATCAGTTAACAAGGCATAAAAAAAACCCTTGTGGTTCCAGTTTCATATCGCGAAAAAATTAGGGTAGGTCAGAAATTATTTTATTTTTGAATATTTTTTTCATGGTTTTTTCAATAATTAGTGTGACAACAGATGCCATTTTGGCAGCAGCCTGCAACCACCCGGAGAAAATAGGGTCGCGCGATCAATCGCGTTAAAAAAATAATAGGGTCGGCAGAAAAAATAGAGTCGGTCGGGAACCGGAACTACAGGTATTTTTCTTTTACGCCCAGTTAAAAAGTGTTTATTTTATGATGTTAGTAATAGTGCAAAGTTTGGCCACTGTAATTAAACTTGTAGCCATGTAATAATTCAAAATTTTCATGTTCTATAATGGCATATTTTAAAGAGTTAAAGAGGTCCAAACATGCCAGAATTAAAACTTTCATGACTCCCCCTCCCCCCACACTCCCAATTACTCCTCAAACTTTGGTGACCCCCCAAAACAAATACTAAACTCATCCCCCCCCCCTATGATTTCACCATCCTCCCCCCAAATCATAAATAATGACGGTACTTTATTTTTAGTACTATATTTTCCTGTGCACAGCCACAGGAATAATTTATCTTATGGGAAATCTATAATAACCAGTAATGGTCAGAGAAGTCAATTTCTACATTCAAAAACCCACCAATGGAAATTTAATTTTTCCCTGTGGATATAAACTGTTGTGCAACGTTGCACAACGCTTTCATCCGGCCATACTGGCGCTTTTGATTTGACAAAAATATTTTGTTTTGTCTAAGCATATACAATCTACTTAAAAATGTGCAATAATAATTATAAAAAAACATACTGTGAATTTGGTTTCCATTATTTCCATTATTTGATAAGCTTTTCTTGGCTTGTAAATGCCCAAGTGAGCTGGTGGACTGGGCAATGCTAGTAGAATGAACTTCGTGATCAGAGTATGTTCATTTTTAGGCCTCGTAAAGTCTTTCGTATTTCTCCATTATTTCCAAAACCGCCGTAGAATCCTCTAATGTGTTTCACATTTTGAGTAGAATGGTTCAAAAGTTAAATACAGGATGCATTAGAGCAAAAACAACAATATTTTCAACCACGTGTAAATTTTAAAATTTCGTACATGCCGCCATTTAAAAATTCCGCTCGTTTGGGGCTTGGGACGAATGTTGTGTTTCCACTTTCCACTCCGGTTAAATCTTTACTTCTTTTCCAGTGCTCTACGTACGAATCTGACATCTTTTTTTAAGGATTTCGTTTAGGTTTTGAACTTTTTAAACTTACTGCGCACTGGTTTCATAGATATCTTATATACTCTAGATAGCGCATCTCTTTTAGTAAAATTGAAGCCAAGAATATTCCAGCGGTTACTCATTTGAATAAATTGCGGTCATTTTGGAGTTTCAAACCACTGATCTGAAATAAGACTGGATAACGCATCTATAGTATACGAAAGTGAAGCCGGAAGTCACCGGCCGCCACCCGATTCTGGGGGCCCACTTTTGTATAGATTTGTATTACAGACGGTAGTTTTTCGCGTTTTTTGCCTTGGCTACGTTTCCGATCGGCCCAATTTTACACTCACAACGAGAGAAGCATACAAGAAGAGTTTTGAGCAATTATGGCTTTATAACGCCGCGAAACGGGATTTACAACACTGAAGGAGTGGAGATCCTCAGACTTTGTTTATCAGCACGAGCTTGTTTTGCTACTTTCATACAAAATCAACTCAAAATATACAAGAATTATTGTTACTGGACGAATATTCTCACGAAATTTGAAGAAATGAAGCAGCTACATTGTGAACGAAAGCGTACAGAGGTTAGACTTTGTTTATCGACACGAGCTCGTTTGCTACTTTCATACAAAATCAATTTAAAATATATATATACAGGAATTATTGTTTGCTGGACGAATATTCTCAGGAAACTTGAAGAAACGAAGCAGCTACATTGTGAACGAAAGCGTACTGAGGTTAGTTTTAAAATACCTTGAGGCTACTTTTATAATTATACGAAATTAATAAGGAACAGTTTTAAATGTCAATTTAGTCAAAAGCATTCCTAGGTGACTTGTCGAAAAGTTTTTTTTAAAGTAGGAAGACAAGTGACAATGAAATATTTTTAATCCAAATTATAAACAACGATTCAATGTTATTTTAATTCATATAATTATGGAAGTAGCCTCGAGGTATTTTAAAACTAAACCTCTGTACGCTTTCGTTCACAATGTAGCTGCTTCATTTCTTCAAATTTCCTGAGAATATTCGTCCAGTAACAATAATTCTTGTATATTTTGAGTATATTTTGTATGAAAGTAGCAAAACGAGCTCGTGTTGATAAACAAAGTCTGAGGCTCTTCATTCCTTCAGAGTTGTAAATCCCGTTTCGCGGCGTTATAAAGCCATAATACTCCAAATTTTTTGCTCAAAACTCTTCTTGTATGCTTCTCTCGTTGTGATTGTAAAATTGGGCCGATCGGGAACGTAGCCAAGGCAAAAAACGCGAAAAACTACCCTTCTGTAATACAAATCTATACAAAAGTGGGGCCCCAGAATCGGGTGGCGGCCGGTGACTTCCGGCTTCACTTTCGTATAGTATAGATGCGTTATCCAGTCTTATTTCAGATCAGTGTTTCAAACTCGCTAATAAACGCTTAAAAAACAACAATAACTTTCATCATCTGACCAGTTTGAAAATGTATTTGGAATAGGTTTAACTTAATGTTTAAGTTCCCTGTTTAAGAAATAGAAAACATACGAATATCTTGAGTCTGCAATCACGGCTTCAATTTTTGAATTGCAGAATAATTAGATGCACTATCTAGTAGAGGTGTGCATTGGATCGGATTGGACGTTTATAATCCGACAATTGGCTAATGTTTAAAATCCGATCCGATCCGAAATTGTCTAATCCGAATCAGATCCGAGTTGTGATAAAGAATTCCTATCCGATCCGATACGAAGAATCCTTTAACAAAATAAATTTCTCATTCAAGTTGAAATGTTCAATTAAATTAACCAAATAAATATAAAAACAAGAAATATATGTCAAGAAGCTGACAAAGTGACGTCCAATTGAACGGTATCAAACGAAAAATGCATCGACAACCGCGATAATGCTTTGATAAATGCATGGATAATTAATTCCTGCAATAGTGCGTGGATAATTAATTCATTTTATTTCGAATATCGAAGTCCGATCCGATCCGACTACGAAACAATTTTATCAATCCGATCCGATCCGAAATATATATTTTTGTTCCGAAATCCGAACGAATCCGATCGGATTCGGATCGGATTTGCACACCTCTACTATCTAGTGTATATAAGATATCTATGACTGGTTTATGTACTTATTTGAATACGATTTTTAAATGCACGATTTGTGAAAGGACGTTGTGAAAGGACGTTGTGAACTGCGTATATTGGCATATTAAAGGCATTTTATTTTTGCTAATGGTGTACTGTATTTTAATGTTAAAATACTTGAAAATGTGGGTCCAAGACAAACACCCACGCAAACAGATGTAGTTGGGAATTTTAGGCATATTAGTTCAACCTGATAATTACACTGGCCAGGCATGATCATGATATAGATTAGACAATATGTTTCAAATAAAATCGAGTTCCCTGTGTAGTATTGTGCGGCACATTGCGCATTTTTAGATGCCCTTTCATTTTCATTAGTGCCCTTTTGTTAAGGAATATGCCCTCTTGTTAACCAATTGCACCCCTTGCCCCCAGCAACTTCCGGCATCCCTGGTTGTAGCTAAAAACAATGCATGTAAACTTTCGAGTTTAACACACCTTGACAAGATTGTCACACAATAATTAAACAGTTTTTACCAACATTGTATGAAAGTAAAACAGTCAAATTTTGTCCTAGTCTTTAGTCAACTTGAATGTCGCAATTGTATTCTTGTTTTTTCGTGTTAAGCCATGATCTCTGGTCTTATTCAAATTCTGTCTAATATGTAAGCGAAACTCATTGTTTCCTTGTCATTTTACATTGCGAGACCAAGCTGACGAGTACGTTCTTGGCAAATTGAGTTTTGATTGGAACAGAACAGCAAAGAACCTGAAACAAACAAGCATCGTTCAAATTTTGTCTTGAAGGCACTTTTGCTTGTTTTATGTGTGGTTGTTGCTGTTCAATTTGCTGTGATTGCGAGGAATGTTGTGTCCTTGAGAGCTTTAAACAATAAGGTTAACGCTCTGGAAGAAGAAAAGGGCTTTAAGTCGTTGGAAAACGAGAATCACGAACACCGCGGAACAACACGAAGCAAGCGGGGAACAGAGAACACAGATATTAAGAAGGCAATGATAAAACTAGAAAAGCTGGAAGGAAGGTAGGAGGATTTTGATTATATCGAAAATTGGCTGTTTACATAACATGACAATTTTTAGGTCGGATGGACCTGGTTTGCTGGGGGTGTAAGGCACTGTTATCTAATTCAGTACATGCTGAATCTCTGCCGCCTATGTGTAATCAACCCCGAAAGCGACTATGCTGGATTTGGTCTTGCCTTATATACTTATAAAATTAAGGCCTCCTAGTCGGGCAATGATATCATTTCTGGTATTCTAGAATACCTACATGAATTATAGGGCCGCACAAATGAGATAAAGTTTTATATTAGTTTCCTCATGTTTAGACTGAACCAGTCGTATCAATATGCTGGCCGTCAACCTACATTCCTTCTTCGAGGATTTCCAGGAAGAGATGGCAGAGATGGAAGGGATGGTGCACAGGGAGCCCGAGGTATATGTTAATATCAAATGTTTATAAACCTGCGTTGTTTCTGGACAATTTGTAATGAGTTAAGGAAAGCCTATAAAATAAGGTGTATAATTGAAAACAAGACATACATGTTCAACACTTCTTTAAATGAAATCCTCTACAGGCAAGGTTGAAATTCCGTTGTGTTTAACCATCTGCAAAGTACTCAAGTTAAAATCAATATGTCTGTACTCAAGTTGAAATTCAACATGTCTACTTTTCACAAAAATAAACTACAGTCTATACCATAAAAAAGTATATAATTATTAAAAATTTAAGCGAGTATTGTGATTTTTCAAGCTGGTTTTAACTTAATTGAAGGAGCACAGTTGTACATACTAAGCGAGCGCAGTTGTACATGCGGCGTGAAACGTGACGTTTTTCGCACTTGTGCAAAATTAGGGGTGGCGCTAGGGAGTGGCGTAATTACACGCCTCAATAATCAATGTGGCTCACTATATAATAAAAGTGGGCCTAATTAACACAGAGTCTTCAATCTTCAACATGAATTTTGGTCTCCGAACATGATGTAATATATGAACAACGAGAGCGAGTGTTTCACCGGGATAACCAAACACGAGAAAGAAATGTATGAAAACACGAGCGCGAAGCGCGAGTGTTTTCATACATTGTTTTCGAGTGTTTGGATATCCCGGTGAGACACGAGCTCGAGTTGTTTATATGGCTTCTCAAATGAATCGAGACGTAACAGAATGTTTTCATTTGCGCATGCTGATTTGAATAGAATTCTTAACCAAGCATAACGTAATTAGGAATTCTATTCAAGTAATTTTGCATGCATAATTATGATATTTGATGAAAACCCTATAGTGACTTTCATCAAGTATCCAAATGGTATCTTGTGATCAAATAGGTGATTATCGTTGGCTGAATTGCTCATGAATTATTAATGATTTGAGAAAAATAGTATCAAGACTATCAAGTTACATTATTGCCATATATGTCGTGATGACACAAAGTCACATCGCACAGCAGGTGACACTGTGACTTTAAAAAAGCTCCTATTTCTACACATCTGCAGGTGATCCACGAGTCCAAGGGGACCGTGGACCAGCAGGTCCTGAAGGTCCCAAAGGAATACAAGGTGAATCTGGAAAGGTTGGAGTGACTTATATCCGGTGGGGGAAAAAGATCTGTCCGAATACTGGAGCTACATTGGTTTATAAAGGTAATAAGACTAATAATAATAGACCGATTCGAAAAATGGTTGTCATTCTTTTTCTCTTCCGAAATTAGGTTCCACCAAGGTAATCACCGCCGTGTTATAGAATACTTCAAGACTAACAGTTTTTTAAGTATAAACACAGTACCATGCATTTATTGGATGAGGTTTTTGTGATATCCGGAATTATCAATGTCGAGAAGAGCTATCAATCGAGCCAAGCGCGAGACTTGATCACACTTAACAAAACCTTCATAATGCATACCTGCGCCAGCGAATTAAGTAGTCTTCGAGTAATCGAGTGCCCTCTAATTTTCAACATGCTGGCCACAACCTTGTAGAACGACTGACACACTTTATAAGTATGACAACTCCCCTCGCACCCCCATTCAATGTTGTTTCGGTCAGTTGTTCCAGATTTTCAAGTATGATAGTTAGATAAAAACAACATTGAATGTGGGGAGGGAGAGGAGGTGATATGCGGATATATAAGGTGAACAACGTCCGTCGTTCTACGGTTTTTGGCCAAGATTGTAGGTATTCTTTATTTTGTAGGTAAATATCCAACATTTTTTTGGTTTTTAGGTTATGTTGGAGGAACTTATTTTGATCAAAGTGGCGGTGCTTCTAATTACGTATGTTTGACACGTGATCCCATCTATGCAAAATATCAATCTTGTTATCAAGACGATCGTTCACGAATCTTTGGCGCAGAATATCAAACATACTCTACTGGCATATACCCCAGTAGTCTGTACAACCACGATGTCCCATGCGCAGTGTGTCATGTGACCAAACGTGCTTCACAGATGATGATACCAGGTCGTAACGTATGTCCCGCGGGATGGACACGCGAATACAAAGGATACTTGATGGCCGAAAGGCACAATCACCATCGCACAATGTACACATGTGTGGATGAAGCTCCTGATTACACGCGAGGAACCCACGCTGATCGTGGCGGTGCTTTGTTTTATTTTGTTCAAGGAGAGTGTGGTTCACTTCCCTGCAAACCTTATATTGAGGGGCATGAGTTGACATGCGCAGTATGCACTCGTTAAATATGAAGTATAATATTTGTCCTGACCATGAATTATTTAACGCCAATTACTGTCACATTTCTTGATATGAACTCTTTGAGAATCGAGGCGACCTTTTGTAATAATGATGATGATCAAAATGCATGATGTTAACACTAAGGGGCTGATTACATGGGCCGAGTTGTCCCACTTTGCCGAGTTGTCCCGGCTAAGCGAGTTGATTTTTGAATTGCGATTACATGCACCGCGCTAACCCGGCTAGCCGGGCTGAAGTAGCTCATTAAGATTTGTAATGCTTAACAATTTAATACTCGGTGGTGTATTTGTTGTATTTGAGGACTACTTTACCCACTGAATGTTGTTGGTTGAGGTATTTATACTTAGCGCTGATCCCAACAGGCTTATACTGTTTGTATTCTAACAAAATTGTGTCGCTTCCTATCTAAACCTTGAAAACGTTCATTAATATCATTTTGATGTTGTTTGAAGTTTTTTTAACTTATATTTGTACATATAATCGAAATTAAAACATGCATAAGTGTGGTTTTCAGCCCGCTTTGCCGAGCCAACTCGGCAAAAAGCGATTACATGGGATGTGTGGGCAATTTCTGTCCCGGCTAAGCGACTTGACTCGGCAAGCTACAGCCGCGGTCCCGGCAAGGCGGGACAACTCGCTTTGCATGTAATCAAAATGTCAAAATAATAGACAATACATATAGGAAGCGGGTCAACTCGGCAAAGCGAGTCAACTCGCTTAGCCGGGACAACTCGCCCATGTAATCGGCCCCTAATCCCCGAGCCGACGGCGCGAAGCGCCGTGCGAGGGTACTAATTCCCCCCGGCTATTTACACCCGGGGAAACGAAAGCATTAGGGAAGTCTAAAGTTCATCAATTATCGCGGGCGTGGGTCACCAACCATGGGTGGTCATCCTCACTGATCTAAAAAATATGGCGGACTGTCACTGTTTGCATTATAACGACTGCATGTCATCGGACAGCGAAATAGCAAACATTTCTTGATTTGATGATTGATAAATTTCTTGCAAATATATTTCATTTTTGCTCGCATTTTTGCAAGATTTTATAAATTCCAGGAAAGAAAGGGCGAAAGAATCGGCTAAAAGAAGGGAGCCGACGTTAACGAAGGTAAGTTTGTTTTAAATATTGATTTTATAATGGCTTTAAAACCCGACGGCCTTTGCGTATATGAAACAACTAAACAAGACAACATATAATTTCAGTGTATCTTCAATATTGATTCCCTTTTTTATTTATATATCGAATTTTTTAAATAAAAAAGAAAGCAAAGTTATTTGCATGCAAGAATTTGAAATCATTTTATTGCAAACTCAAAATTTATCGATAAAGCCTTTAATTATTAAAAGGCAGTTTAGTTTTATAAAGAACACTTTAAAACGTTTTGCGAAGCGTTTGTGGTTGAATTTTACCTTAAATTGAAGCTTTTATTACGTATAATAACATACCTAACATATATATGTTGGGAAATTGATAATTTTGTAAATAAAAGTGATATTTTTAGGCGATTTTTCGTTTGTAAGGATGTTCTTAAAAAATTATCGTGTTACCATGAAAACTACTTTAGATACGTTATGTTCGGAAAATACAAATTATACAATGGTTTTGTCAGTAAGGCGAGGGTTTCTGCATGCACATGTATTTTCTAGTAATGTAATGATATGTACCAAACTTTACAACCAGTGCACGGCGCTGTTTCGTCTTTATGGAAGATAATATGTAGACAATTTAATAACATTTAAATCGAGATTGTTCGTCGGGGTGGGGGGGGGGGGACAATCCTTTCCATTAATGTAGCTGCCCTCCTCTGAAGAGCATAGGAAGGACTTGTACATTGCGTGGTCTTTTTCGAGGTAGATTGGTATAAGGTCATTTTATTTTCGGTAATAGTAGATAGTATTTTATGTTAAAATAGGTCGAAATTCGGGTATAAAGAATTACACATTTGCCCGTAGGTAGGTGCATGTGATGTGTCGCAGCTGGAGAATTTTTGAATATCGACGGTAAGTCGATGTTGACACCTTGACAAGTCGCATGCAAAATAACCAAACTAATCTTCAGCAATAAACCTGTGGGAAGTAACAAAATCGAGTTTTGCCCTAGCCTCGCATGGTCTTCCTGCTGGCCAAGCCTATTCCACTGGCCTTATTCATTTGCATGCAGTCAGTGCCTGCGTTATCACTGGGGACTATAGCATTGGAAAGTTTTTCGACAGTGCAAATGAATACAAATATATGACACAGAAATCACAAAGTATGATTGTATAACGCGAGATTTCATGAATATATATATTACAATGCACCTTGAAATAGCACCAAAAGTAAATATTTAAATAAGCTATACGACAGACGAGTGCTTATTGTCAGTCTATCATGTTGACAGCGGTAGATTGAATATAAATGATATAAACGGCACTATGTATAAACATTTACATAGTTAAAACAACGTGAAATTTTTACTTTAACACACCTCAACAAGATTCACAGAAACATGAAACTAATCTTCAGCAACAACTAGTGTGAATAATAAAAAAGTCGAAATTTGGCCTAGCCTTTTGTCTCCGTATGTAGATTCAATAATAACAGTTTTATTCTTGTTTTTTCGTGTTAAGCCACGCTGCCTGGTTTTATTCAAATTATGTGTAATATGTATATTGAAACTTATTGTTTCTTCGTCATTTTACGCTGAGACACCGAGCTGAACGTTTGTCAATAAATTGAGAGAAAATAAAAACGACTTTTGATCGACAAAACGATGGAAAAAACCGGCAAAGAACCAGAAATATTCAAGCATCGTTCGAATTTTGTCATGAAAGCACTTTTGGTTGTTTTATGTGTGGTTGTCGTTGTTCTTTTGGCCGTAGTCGCAAAGAATTTCGCTTCTTTGAAAGCGTTAAACAACAGGTTAAACGCTTTGGAAGACGAAAATGTTTTGGACTCTAAGTCTGTGAGAATCAACGCATACGAGCACGGTCCAAGACGAAGCAAACGTGGAGCAGAAGCGACTGATATTAAGAAGGCAATGATAAAACTAGAAAAGCTGGAAGGAAGGTAGGACGATCTTCACCACAGTTATCTTCATTGACAAATTAAATAAAAAAGCCTGTTTACATAACATGCATGTGAATTTGCATTAAGGCTGAACCTGGTGTTGCTAGGGATGCAAGGAAGTGTAATCTCACTGCACGCTGAATTCTCAGCTATACCTAGCTAGGAAATTTTGAACAGTATATATTGACGACGGCTATGTTCCGAATACATAGCCCCACCGGAGTACAAGCCCCTCCGTGTATAAGCCCATGGGCTTATTATTGCATGGATAGGTATTTATAGGTAGGCTATTAACGCAGCGACGAGGTTTCCAACAGCTCAGACAAGTGACAATATAATTACATTAAAATAATGCAATATGTGAACCAACTTGTTTTATGTATACTATATAAACTGTATGTTTATATTTCTTTTCGTTCACAGTATAGGGCATTTGGCTTGATAGAACTAACAAATTGTAGAAGGATTTTGTATATGGAAATTTCGAGTGTAAATTTTTTATTATTATTATCAGTCGACTGGCCACGAAGGAGCAGTTACGGAAAATGCAACAATAGGCCCTGTGGCAGGAATTGAACCAGTGGCTCTGAGATTCCGGTGCAGCACTCTAACCAACTGAGCTACAGATTCCAGTTGTCAGTGCCTGTAGTTGCATTTTCACATTTGCTTCTGGTTAGATCTAATCAATGACAATGTACAAAATTTACGTATATTTATGTATACCATACTGATATTGCTTTGATTGGAACAATTAAATTGCAGAAGGAATTTAATTGTTCCAATCAAAGCAATATCAGTATGGTCATATGCATGATATCATTTCTTGTATTCTTTAATACTTGCGAATAGCAAAGAAAAGAAATGTGGTTTTATATTGATCTTTTCCTATGTTTAGACTGAATCAGTCGTATCAGTATGCTGGTCGTCAACCTGCATTCCTTCTTCGAGGACCTCCAGGAAAACCAGGAAGAGATGGCACTCCAGGAAGCGCAGGAAGAAATGGCAGGGACGGAAGGGATGGTTCACAGGGATCCCGAGGTATTTTAATTTCCGATGTTCATAAAACTTGAATCAGAGTTGCAGCAACTCAAGTCATGTGACTAGGAGTCGCAATTTTTGTGATTTGACTTTGAAAATTAATTTTTCTACAATTTGTACTTAGTAAAGCTCCCATTTTTAGGCCAGCCAGGAGTTTCCGGTAAAAGTGGACCAGCAGGGCCTCAAGGTCCCAAGGGAATACAAGGTGAATCTGGAAAAGTTGGAGTGACTTATATCCGGTGGGGGAAAAAGACCTGTCCAAATACTGGAGCTACATTGGTCTATGAAGGTAATAATACAATCCTGTCACAGAAAGTTTTCTACCTATATGAATGGAGAGGGGGAATATTTATATAATAAATCTAAATTCCTCCGCCAGGAGTCATATTTTTATCCCGCGTTTGAAAGTGTGTGTGTTTGACTGTCACTCTGTCAGTACGATAACTTAAAAAATTTCAAACGTATTAATAATACGACAATTAGTGGGATTAATGAACATTGTTCATGGACAAATTGATTAAATTTTTGTTAAATGTTGATGAAAGTCGGATGAGAAATTATCTTGTTTTGCTGCACAAAGTAAACTGAATACGTAATTAGCTCACTGTATAATTTATGCATGATACATAACTTCATTCGCTTGCGGAGGTATGCTGTTTCCGAGTGCCCTCTAGTTTAGTATTGTTTTCAAAATGCTAGGTATAGTGCCGAGGTACCATGCCACCTTTATATTTTGACAAAGTTTTGTTTTTAGGTCATGTCGGAGGATCTCGACATACTTATAGAGGTGGTGGTTCTAATTACGTATGTTTGACACGTGATCCCATCTATGCAAAATATCAATCTGGTTTTCAAAGCAGTCGTTCACGAATATTTGGCGCAGAATATCAAACACACTCTACAGGAATATATCCCAGCAGTCTGCACGACCACGATGTCCCATGTGCAGTCTGTCATGTGACCAAACGTGCTTCTCAAATGATGGTACCTGGTCGTAATGTGTGTCCCGCGGGATGGACACGCGAGTACAAAGGATACTTGATGGCGGAATATCACAATCACCATCGTACAATGTATACATGCATGGATGAAGCTCCTGATTACACGCGAGGAACCCACGCTAATCGTGACGGCGCTTTGTTCTATTTTGTGGAAGGAGAATGTGGTTCACTTCCCTGCAAGCCGTATATCGCAGGACGTGAGTTGACATGTGCAGTATGCACTCGTTAAATAATTATGAACTCATCTTTGTGTTCAGCAATTACTGAACACCAATTATTGTCACATTTACCCCCATTTGCACCTTTATATCAACTCTTACAGATAATAACTTTAATCTTTTGACACTCCAAAAACTTCATGTCCAACTTTAAGCAAATTATCATATTCATAATAATAATGTTTAAAACAATAATGTAACAGTAATATACGTAACAAAATTTATAGCCAGTACACGCTGTCTCGCCTTTATGCAAGATAATATGTGGACAATTTAATAATCTAATAATCTACCACTGTATTTTTAAATCTAGATTTTAACTCACAATTGCACCCGTACTTAGTACTTAAAAGTAATGAAGAACATCTTTGTTATGTTGTGTTTTATTGTATACGTGGTTTCATGTACTGAACTCAATAATAAAACTGTAGTGATATCTTAGTTACTCGTGAAACATAGGAATAGATTCCAGTGAAGCCCAGGTTCAACGAGAATGAGAGTTGATGCACGCTGTCCTAATAATCTCCCACTGCATTGGGGGGGGGGGGACAATCCTTTCCATACTCTAGCTGGGTCAAAATACGGGTATAAAGTATCGCACATTTATCCATAAGAAAACACCAGTGTAAACAATTGTAGCTGGGAATTTTAAGTATAGACGTTTAATTATTTCTAACTGAATGCTTTTCGAGAGTGCAAAAAAAGGAAAATACGACACAAAGACACGAAAGTATCATTGTATCACGCAAGATCTAGTGAATACTGTATTGTCGTGCCAATTTGTAATAGGGCGCAAATTAGCTATATATATGTTATAACCTTGACATGCAGACATCTTACTTTTTCTTACAGTATTGTCAGTCTAGAATGTTGATAGCGGAAGACTGAACATAAATTAAACTTAACCCCAAGCGAAATTGTTATAATCTACACTGGTATAAGTATTCGACATTTATCCAAGACAAGGCACCCACGCAAGCAGAAGGTAGCTGGAAATCTTAGGTATGTCTACCTGTTGGCCAGGTCTATTTAATTTGCATGTATTTCAGTGTTTATTCCAGGAGACAACTGGTAGCCTTAGAAGCTTTGCGAAAGTGCAAATAGATTAAAATATATGACATAGACACCGGCCACAGTTTCTGTGTCATATTTAAAAGTGAAATTGTATAACGCGAGACGTCATGAATATCGAATATATCTATTATGTATATAATTAACGAACCTTGAGATGTAACTATACGAGAGACTCCTACGTGTGCTTATTGTCAGTCTACCATGTTAATTGACAACGGAAGATTGAATATATATTAAAATTTGAAAATCTCAACCTAATATTACGATATAAATCTAGCTAAAATAACTGAAAATCTCTACTTTAACACACTTGACAAGATAGTCATAAAATAATGAAACTAATCTTCAGCAACAACTACTGCATGTGAATAATAAAAAAGTCGAATTTTGGCTTTAGCCTTTTGTCTCCGTATAATATGCATGTAGATTTAATAATAACAGTTTTATTCTGTTTTTTTCGTGTCAAGCCACGCTGCCTGGTTTTATTCAAATTATGTGTAATATGTATTGAAACTCATTGTTTCTTCGTCATTTTACGCTGAGACACCGAGTTGATCGCTTGTGAATAAATTGAGAGAAAATAAAAAACGAATTTTGATTGCTAAAACGATGGACAAAAACGGCAAAGAACCCGAAACATTCAAGCATCGTTCAAATTTTGTCATGAAAGCACTTTTGCTTGTTTTATGTGTGGTTGCCGTTGCTCAATTTGCTCTGTTTGCAAAGAACTGCGCGTCCTTGAAATCGCTAAATGACAGGTTGGGTGCAATAGAAGAAAATATTTTGGACTCTGAGAATCAACCCACACGAGCACGGTCCAAGACGAAGCAAACGTGGAACAGAAAAGACAGATATTAAGAAGGCAATAATAAAACTAGAAAAGCTGGAAGGAAGGTAGGACGATTTTCGCTAACGATCAGGCCATTCCAAATATAAGCCCTCCCGAATATAAGCCCCTCCGTGTATAAGCCCATGAGCTTATTCAATATTGAACAGGTATTTATTAACGGAGCGACGGGGATTCCAACAGCTCAGACGAGTGACAAAAATTACATTACAGTATTCCAATATGTGAACCAACTGTAACTTGTTTTTTAAAAGTGAACCGACTTGTTTTTTAATATGTGAACCAATTACTTGTTTTTTAATATGTGAACCAACTTGTTTTTGTACTTAAAAGTATAGATTATATACTGTATGTTTATATTTCTTTTCGTTCACGGTATTGTTTACAGGTATACAATAAATATTATCACTGACGTCAAATATCGTCTCTATATCTACAGGCCCCCAACCCCCATCACCGTATATACTGTAAGCCTTCCCGTATAAGCACGTCAAGAAATACTCACAAATGAATAAAAAAAGGCCCAGGGCTTATATATTCGTACGTATACGATATGCTTCTTCAAATTAAGGATTTTGGGCATCTCATTCGATAGAACTAATTAATTGAAGAAGTATTTTGTAGATGGAAATTTCGAGTGTAAATTTTACACACGTATATTATATCTAACAAGGAGCAGTTACGGAAAATATAACAATAGACCCTATAGCAGGAATTGAACCTGTGGCTCTGCAATTCCGGTGAAGCGCTTTAACCAACTGCGCTACGGAGTGTAGTTGTCAGGGCCGGTATACATAGTCGCGTTTTTTTACACCTGCTCCTTGTTAAATCTAATAATTCTACAAAGTTTACAACCAAAATATAATTTCCATCTACAAAATCCTTCTGAAATTTGTTGCAATTAAAGCCATCTCGACATGGTCGTATGCATGATATCACTTCTTGTATTCTTTAATACTTGCGAATAACAAAGAACAGAAATTTAAGTTTAATACTAGTTTCCTATGTTTAGACTGAATCAGTCGTATCAATACGCTGGGCGTCAACCTTCATTCCTTCTTCGAGGACCTCCAGGAAAACCAGGAAGAGATGGCACTCCAGGTAGTCCGGGAAAAGCAGGAAAAGACGGTACTGCGGGAAATTCAGGGAAAGCAGGAAAAGATGGTACTGCAGGAAGTCCAGGAAGAAATGGCAGGGACGGAAGGGATGGTTCACAGGGAGCCCGAGGTATTTTAATTTCCAATGCTTATGAAACTTGCATCAGAGTTGTAAATTCGAGTTATGTTTCTTGGACTTGAGTCGCAATTTGTGTCCCTTAATTGAGTTGTTTGGCAGATTAACGATTGTTACTTGATTTGGACTTGCAAGAAATAAGTAACATTCTGCCAACGCAGGTCAAATACAAAGCCATGAATATCTAGTGAAAATTAACTTTTCTACAATTGCACTGGAAATTCACTGATGTACACAGTAACTATGACTGAGAGCTTGTGATGTATAATGTTATTTACCGGCTGCGAGGCCCGTACTGAAGCGCTTCTGAGACCGAGGGAAAATGTTTCAAGTATGGGTTGACATTAACGGTAAAATGTGCTCAAAAGCTCCGACATTTATGTTTTACTAGGTGAGCCAGGAGTTCCAGGTCAACGTGGAACAGCAGGGCCTGCTGGTCCCAAGGGAATACAAGGTGAATCTGGAAAAGTTGGAGTGACTTATATCCGGTGGGGGAAAAAGACCTGTCCAAATACTGGAGCTACATTGGTATATGAAGGTAAGAATACAACTGTTGGTATCCTGTCATAGAGAGTTTTCTACAGATATATATTATTGGGGAAGGGGAATATTTATATGATAAATATTAATTCCGACTTTAGCAGATCAAAATATCAATTTTGCCTTCGCCAGGAGGTTATATTTTGTACGTGTGTGTAACTGTGTGGTTGTCTGTCAGCACGATAACTAAAAAAATATTAAACGTTATGATGAGAAAATTGGCTGGACAAATGGACATTGCTCATGGACAAATATTTGTTAAATTTCAATCAAAATTGGATGAGCAATTATCTTGTTTTGCCAGGCCATGGCCTATCGAAAGGAAGATGGCTGTGAAACTCATTAGAATAACAATAAAACTCATTATCTGTGTTAGTCGACGTTTATTCGTAAATCTGGTCCTTCATCGTCACGTGTGTATTGTATTTCAGCCAAATCCACCAATAGCAATTTCCAGTTTCCCTATTGTTCGAGTCACGGATAGGTGACTTTCCTAAAACATTGCTATTGGTTAGTTGGGTAGAAATACAATACGCACGTGACTGTGAAGGACCAGATTTATGAATAACTTGAATAAACGTTGACCAACATTTATCACTTATTTACTGAGAGCGAGGGAAACAGTGTGTTTTGTGGACCCGAGACCGTCGATGTTCCCGAGGCGAAGCCGAGTGTTTTATTATATATCAATAGTCAAAGAAACAACAAATTAAAGAACAAATGAACGTAAATACATGAAATATTTTATTGTTAAAACGTTATATTAAACACTGGCTACACTGCAGTTACTTAAAGCGAAAGTTTTAATTACGTACTAGGCATGTCCAAAGGTCGCATCTTCACGTGATGGCGCACGTGATTTTTTTTGTTATTCGCCGGTCGATAACGTATTATCTCCCTCTCGCGCTGTTGCGAGGGAGACAGCCTCATTTCGTCACTCTCACGTGACATGCTCTCAACCAATAAAACACTAGAAAAATGCGACTTTGACTATTGATATATAATAATGAGTTATATTGTTATTCTAATGAGTTTCACAGCCATCTTCCCTTCGATAGGCTATGACCAGGCAGAGTAAACTGAATGCGTTATTAACCCATTGTGTAATTTATGCATGATACATAACTTCATTCGCTGGCGGAGGTACACAGTCTCCGAGTGCACTCTAGTTTAATATTTTTAGGTAATTCCAGGTATTGTCCTGACTCCTGAGGTAACCATGCCACCTACATATTTTGACAAAGCAGTATTCAATCTTTTGGTGGTTTTTAGGTTATGTCGGAGGAGCTTCTTATAATCACAGGGGTGAGGGTTCTAATTACGTATGTTTGACACGTAACCCCATCTATGCAAAATATCAATCTGGTTTACAAGACGATCGCTCACGAATCTTTGGCGCAGAATATCAAACATACTCTACTGGAATATATCCCAGCAGTCTGCACGACCACGATGTTCCATGTGCAGTGTGTCATGTGACCAAACGTGCTTTACAAATGATGGTACCAGGTCGCAATGGTTGCCCCGCGGGATGGACACGCGATCGAGTACAAAGGATACCTTATGGCGGAGAAACACGATCACCATCGTACGATGTATACTTGCGTGGATGAAAATCCTGATTACACGCGAGGAACCCACGTTAATCGTGACGGTGCTTTGTTCTATTTTGTTGAAGGAGATTGTGGTTCACTTCCCTGCAAGCCTTATATCTCAGGGCGTGAGCTGACATGCGCAGTTTGCTCTCGTTAAATATGAACTCATCTTTGTCTTCAGAAATTACTGAACACCAATTATTGTCACATTTATACTGATTTGCTCCTTTATATAAACTTTTAGAGACAAGATGTTTAATCTTTTGAAACTCCGACAATTTCATGCCGACTTTAAGCCTGGTTTTCATATGGTCTTAAAGATTGAGTCACGATCTTTCTCATCAGCCGAGATACGACATTTTAGAACTGCAAATACGCGGAGTGATTATAACTAGAGAATATACTTATGATTTATACGTGGTTTACAGGTGCAAACTATTATAAACTGACCGTTGAGAAAGATCGCGACTCTATTTTTACGACCATTACGACCATATGGAAACCAGGCTTCACGCAAATTATTGCTGCCGTTAGGCAGCTCCCTATTCTTCACGTTTGCTTGACCCAGTCTTTCGCGCGACAAATATATTGGGAAGATCTCGATCAATGTGTCCGG